TAGGATAGTCACAAAGTGGCTTGTGGTAAAGATACCACAAGTTAGTTGAGTAAATCCTTTGCAATAGGAAGTATTGTAAAGTGGATTGTAATAGGTAAGATTATAAGTTAGTAAAGTTAAAAGCCTACAGGTGTAGGTCGTTGTTTTTTGATCACCTTGTGCAGGATTTTTCCACATAAAAAACCTCTGCCTCATTTACTTACTGCTTTGCTAAGTGCTCTCAGCAGAAACTTGTAGAGGAGCAGGTACTCTACGATTTGGTGGACCCATATAAGCTAACAAATACCAACTTGTCACGACCCTAAAACTGACCCGGTCGTGATGGCGCCTATCGTGAAACTAGGCCAGCTGACACAACTCCCGAATTAACCATTTAATTAATAACCGTCATTTTTAAGCCTTTACTTAATCAAATATCTTATAATGTAAGTCTAAATGAACAGTGCGGGATAAATACACAAGCCCGACATCGGGGTGTTACAAGTCACGAGCATCTACTAAGGTCTGATTACAACGAAGAGTCTGAAAATATACTAAAAACAATCAAAGGAAGACAAGAGGGAGAAGAGCAGGGCTGCGAACGTCGGGCAGCTACCTTGCTAACTCCATTGACTCTGCCACTGAGCAATCAACACCCGCTACCCGGTCCAGAAATACCTGAATCTGTATACAAGGTGCAGGGAGTAATGTGAGTATGCCAACTCAGTAAGTAATAAAAGTAAATGAAAGCTGAGCAGTAAGAAAACACGTAAACCACGTCAAAATGCTACAACAAATGTAGGACATTTCCACCACAATATAGAAATCATTTACTTCGTAAATCATGCTCAGTTTCGGTAAAACCTTTTTAAAATAATTTTTAATAGTTTCAAACGAGTGATAAAACAATGAGTAAAAATGATAGAAAACGTAAACAGCCCCTCGGGCAAAACATGTATCATAAACCGCACCTCAGGCATAATATCAACAGAACCAGACCCTCGGGCTACCTCACAATCACTCGTAATCAGTCTCTCGGGCATAACATGAATCAAGAACCGCCCCTCGGGCAACAATATGAATCAACAACAGCCCCTCGGGCTATATCACATCACTCACACTGGGTACCCACGCTCACTGGAGGGTATAGACTCTTGGAGGGGCTCCTACAGCCCAAGCGCAATAACAAGCCATCTCGTGGCATAATCAAACAGACTCCCAGCCTCATAATAAGCCACCTCGTGGTGTAACAAATCAGCCCTCGGCCTCATAATCATGAATCAGTACCACAATGCTGCGGCGCGCAACCCGATCCCATAATATCCTCACAACATAGGCCCTCGGCCTCACTTAGTCAGAAATCTCTCAAGCCACTCGAACGATAGTAAAACATGATGCTCAGCCCAAAATATCATTTAAAATATCAAAATGGAGTAAATATGGCCGATTTATGAAAACAGTAGAATACAGCATGACTAAGTACAAATATAAAGTCAAAATAGTGAGGAATAGTAGTAAAAATCCCCTAAGGGTCCAAAACAGTTGGTACGAGGCCCAAATATGGCATTCAGCCCAAAACATGATAATACTTTCCAAAATACAATGATATCAAATAGTTTTTAATCAAATACGCGACTTAACAGTCGTATGGGATGGACTAAGTCACAATCCCCAATGGTGCATGACCCCACGCTCGTCATCTAGCGTGTGTGTCACCTCAAAGTAGCACAACGATGTGAAATCTAGGGTTTCATACCTTCAGGACAAACATTTACAATCATTACTTACCTTAATCCGGTCCAAACTCTAGCTCGCGATGCCTTTACCTCTCGACTCGACCTCCGAATGCTCTAAATCTAACCAAAAACATATTCATACCATCAAAATATGCTAAGGGAACAAAGCCCACTCGAAAATAGTCATTTACACCAAGAATCCCGAAATTGGCCAAACCTGGCCCCCGGACCCACGTCTCGGAATTCGATAAAAATCACACCAGTAGAATCCTTATCCTCTCACGAGTCTACCCATATCAAATTCATCAAAATTCGACCTCAATTGCCCATTCAAATCCCCAAAAGAATTTTCAAATTTTTCTTCCATTTTCCCCCAATTTCCACCATAATTTCTCAAATTAAATGATGAAATTCAAGACTAAAGCATGGAATTAAACCAAATATGAGTGAAGAATACTTACCGCAATTGCTCCACTGAAAATCACCTCAAATTTCACCTTCTCTTGAGCTCTCCAATGGTTTCTGTGATATTGCACTTAAACCCTCGATTTAGAACTTAATATTCTATCCAGATACTTCCTTCAACGCGAACGCAGCAGCACACTCGCGTTCGTGAAGCACCAAGCTTCACCGACCAAAATTCCCTTCTTCGCGAATGCGAGGGCCCACCCACGAATGCGAAGACCAATCAGCCGACCCTACACGAAGCAGAACGCTCCTCGCGGACGCGAAGCTTTAACTCAGGAACCTTTGCGAACGTGGAACTTGCATCGCGAACGCGAAGAACAAACCAGTTGCCCCTCTCAACAACCCTTCGCGAACGCGAGGCCCTCTCGCGAACGCGAAGAACAAAACTCTGCAACAGAACAAAAGGAAAATCTGCAACTCTCAAAGACCAAGAATTGGTCCGTTAACCACCCGAAACTCACCCGAGGCCCTCGGGACCTTAACCAAACATACCAACATATCCCATAACATCATTCAAACTTTTTCCAACCTTCGGAACACTCAAAACAACATCAAAACATCAAATAATCATCGGATTCAAGCCTATGAATTCCAAGAACATCCAAATTCCGAATTCGATCAAAAGGTCTATCAAACCTCATCCGAATGACCTGAAATTTTGCACACACATCATAAATGACACAACGGACCTACTCCAATTTCCGGAATTCCATTCCGACCCCGATATCAAAATTTCCACTACCAACCGGAAAATGCCAACTTTTCATTTTCGCCAATTCAAGTCTAAACCTTCCACGAACCTCCAAAATACATTTCGATCACGCTCCTAAGTCCTAAATCACCCAACGGAACTAACCAAATCATAAAAATTCAAATCTGAGATCATATACTAACAAGTCAAAACTTGGTCAAGCCTTTCAAATTTTAAGCTTCAAACTGAGAACTATTCTTCCAAATCCATTCTGATTACCCTGAAATCCAAAACCGACGATTTACATAAGTCATAATACATCACGCGAGGCTAGTCATGCCCGAGAACTAGCGAGCGAAGTGCAAAAGCTCAAAACGACCGGCTGGGTCGTTACAATTGGTATATTTTAATACGATCTGATCCGATTCGAAATCCGAAATTATAAGGCAATGTTTAAATACTACACTTTAATTTCTGATAGTTAGTACTTCCTTTACATCTTCATCCAAGTTATTACCTTTACAATTGCTAGATTTAGCTATATTGGCTCCATAGTACTCTCATAATTGCATAAACATGATTTTTTCTTAATGTATTGCCTCTTTTACCAAGAAATTATACATATTAGTTTGCAACTTTGAGGCATAATAATACGATCCGAAATTCGATCCAATCCAAACTTTAAAATTCGATCTGATCCGATATAATTCGGATCGGATTCAGATTGCATGTTCTAGAATCAAAATCCAAATCCGAGATGTGCTAAATCCGATCAGATCCGTGCACAGCCCTAGTTCCAGCATCATATGCTGGATTATGGAACTCATGCATATAAACTTCGAGCATATTATGGAGTTTTTTATGGAACTCATGCATATAAACTTCCAGCATATTATGTTGAAACTCTAAAACACGGAAAGTTCCAGCATAATATATTGGATTATGGAGCCCATGCATATAAACTTCCACTATATTATGTTGGAAGTCTAGCATATTATGAAATTTCATCAAATTATGCTGGAATCTCATATGTAAAGTTTCGAACTCCGACATATTATGCTGGAATTTTTTCAAAATTTTAAGAATATTTTTGTTCAGATTTTACCTTTACATGAAAATGTGACTATTTTTCAATTACTAATTTTAAAATATGACTATTTCTGATTTTTTTCGCACGATAATATGATATGTGCGTGTCACACTAGGGATGTGCATGGATCGGATCGGATTTAGCACATTTCGAATTGGATTTCGTATTTCGGATTCTAGAAAATGCAATCTGAATTCGACGAATTAATATCAGATCGGATCATATTTTAAAGTTTGGATCGGATCGGATTTTCGAATTTCGGATCTGATTATTATGCCTCAAAGTTGCAAACTCATATGTATATTTTCTTTGTAAAAGAGGCAATGTAGTAAAAAATAATTCACGTTTCTACAATTATGAGAGCACTATGGTGCCAATATAGATAAATCTATCAATTGTAAAGGTAATAACTTGGAGGAAAATGTAAAGGAAGTACTAATTGTCCGAAATTAAAGTTTAGTATTTATATGCCCTAATAATTTCGGATTTCGGATCGGATCGGATCGTATTAAAATTATACCAATCCGAATCCGATCCGAAATCCAAAATTTTAATAAACACAATCCGAAATCCGATCCAATCCGAAATCCGAAATTGAACGGATCGATTCGGATTTCGGATATCTGATCCAAATGAACAACCCTATGTCACACGTTCTTTTATATTCCCTCCGTCTCAAATTATCTGTCGTGTTTTTCTTTTACAAACATTAATTAGAAGGAATTTTAGACTACTTTACCCTTATTTATGTCTTAAGATATGATCTCTTTATTTATGCGCTATCTCTTTTATCGAAAATAATTACTATTAAGGGTAAAATAGAAAAAGTATAATTTATTTTATCTTGAATTTTTAAAATAATAAATAATTTGAGATAATTATTTTTAGAAACCATGACATATAATTTGAGACAGGGAGAGATTGTTTAACTTGGTCAATTAATATATTTTTTTAACTTCATTTAACTATTACTTAATAATGATAAAGTATATTAAGTTGATACAAACATAAAGGTAAAATTTACCCAAAAATTTCAAGTGAGAAAAAGATACAGTTCATCGGAAAGTAAAATCCCAAAAGCAGAACAACAAATGCTTCAACACAAAAGTAATATAGAGCAACCTCCCTGGTAAATACATTCTGGGATCTCCAAAATAATTCAAGATTTAGAGTTGGGTGGTCGTGAATTAGTAAAATGGAAAGTGGGTTCAGCGCAGAAGATCTTTCCACAATCGGAGGCATTGCCACCGTATCACTCTTACATTCATTCATCCCTACGCATTGGTTGCCTTTCTCCATTGTTGGCAGAGCTCAGAAATGGACTCTCTCTCGTACACTTCTTGTCAGTCAGTACCTACCTACTCTCTCTTTCTTCTTTAGTTTTATATTTCTTTCTTCTGTAGATCTCGATGATTTGTGATTTAGGTTCTTGGAATTATGTGGTAAAATGAAGAGGAAATTGATAAAGTTTGATTTTGACATGTGAAATTTGAATCTTGATGCTGTAATGAGTGTTTCTATTGCTTGCTTAGTTTATTTTGTTTTGTGGGATTTTTTTATAGAAGCACAAAATGTAGATACACCTGAGATCATCACCTTACTACATTTTGCACTTACTTCCATGATAGCTTGGAACTTTTCTGCAATCAAGCTGGAGGAATTTGGACTTTTTATATGGATAAGTTGTATTAGCTGATTTCATTATTGTCTTCATTATTGAAACTTAAAAAAGACAACCTGGTTCTCAGAAGTTTGGATGCAGACGAGGAAAATCTTGGAGCCCATTTGAGTTAGTTGATTAAAAGTAGGTGATAAACATCAAGCATTGGAGCTTATTTTGTTTAGATAAGCAAAACACTTTTAAGGTAGCTGATAAGTATAAAGTGCTGAAAAATACTTTTTAAGGTGTTGAATCTGATTTTTTAAATAGGCACTTACATGTTTAGATAGAAGTGGTGAAACTTAAAAAAAAAGTAAGCGTGTTTGGTAAAAAGTTGTTGATAAGAACTTTTTATTTTAGTTTTTATGTGTACAAGCAGTTTTGGTGTTTGCCAAACACATAAATAAGGCAAAAAGTGTTTATTAGCTAGTTTGACCAGCTTATAAACTTTGGACGGGAAAGTTATTTAAGCTCCTTAACTTATTTTGTATAACTAAAGGATTAAATCTGATATTTTTAGAGATGATCCCTTTGGGGCTAAGTAAAAGAGGTTTCACAAGTAGAGGATTATCATGAAAATGAAGAGTATTATGTGGAGATAACATATTCCAAATGGGAATATTTAGCCGAAGGTAGTCATAGAAAAACCTCTCATATCAGTATCATCTTCTACACGTTCTGCAGATGGGCTCTTGCCTAAGGTAGAAGAGGGATATGCTTTTAGTGTTTGTTCCATGTCATGCAGCTTTGAAGTTATTCACCTTAAATTGTTGCAAAAATTAATGATTTGAGCAGATTGTTGGTGGAAGGCAGAGTTAAAAGAGGGCTCACTAATGGAGAATATACCTTCTTTTTGCTTAAAAATGCTGATATTTGAATAAATGAAGTCTAATCTTCAAACTATGTACTTTCCAGTAGCATCAATGAAAGGAGGAGGGGCGTTTGAAATTTAATTGTGATTCTTTCCTAAGACTTGGACATGCGTAAGAATCAAGATATTTAGATAGTAGATTCACTTAACAAAAAGAAGAGTCATTCACATGGAGCTTCAGCTTTCCCATGATGTAGTGTCGATTTAACGAGAAATTTGACAGTTTACCTGTTATTCAACAGTTATGGTCATTGAAAAAGGAGAAATCAGATGATATTTTCCAGTTTTTCTGGGTAACATGACTGCTAGGTCCTTTTCTCAAGATAAATCAATGTGCCGACTGAGTGAAGCATTACTCAAATATCCTATCCTGCTTTCTATATTTTCCACAGGAATTTGATACTAGTATGTTCCCTATCATGTTCACATAAAGTTCTCTCCTTTGCTAAATTTACTTTTCTTATAAAGGTGAAAGTAGTTAAATACATAAAGGTTAGTTGTTGCTGCAATCTGAATTTAACTTGAATCAAGGAATGGAGAATTGATTTAGTTGTTCTTGCAAAGTATAACTATAAGTATATAACTTCAATCGAGGATGGCTGTGCCTTATAAACATAAGGGATTGGGTTTTGAAAATTTTCTCCAATATCATGTTGCCTTAGAGCAGGTGCGCCTGCAGCTTTTCTTGATCTTTTGCAAGTTAGATTGGAAGTTTTTCTTGCATTGTTGTTTGGTACTCCTAATTACTTGTGAGTTAAGCTGCTTCTTAGGTTGAAAGCATTACGTGGGACAATTAAAATCATGTCTTAAGCTTCACATGATCTTTCTAAATGATCAATCGTCCCTTCTCATTTAACCAAGGAACACTCTGTTTGTGTGTGTGTGTATTCGTCAATCCGAGCTCCATCTGATGTAGAGATCTGCTTTTGAGTCAATCTTTTGCCCTATTAATCTTGGTTTACATCTTCATGGACCTTGTGACATAGGCAGATCAACAGGAGTAACAATTTTCTGATAAGCATTATTAGAATTTTGAGTAACAATTTGCTGATAAGCATTATTAGAATTTTGAGTTTATACTGAATAGTAATATTAGATCACGATACATTTGTGTTTTGACAACTAGATGCTTGCAGCCCCTAATGGTTGAAGATACAGTAGAGTAAATATTGGCGCATTTCTCCTTTTTGCACTTAAATTCGTGCTAACAATACTGAGATGTATGAGCACTCAAGGGTGTGGTCTAATGGTCAATGAAGTGGGTGGAGAACCATGAGGTCTCAGGTTCAAATCCTAGAGGAGGCAAAAAACACTAGGTGATTTCTTCCCATCCGCCTAAGTATTGGTGGGAAGAGTTACCCAATACTTGTGCCATTGAGAGGTAGCAGGTGCCCGATGAAATGGTCAAGGTGCGTGCAAGCTGGGTTGGAGATCACCGTCATAAAAAATACTAAGCTGCGTGAGAAAGACAGAGCTACTGCCTTTAGGGATGGCAATGGGGCGGGACGGGTTGACTGCCTTTTTGGAAAAATTTCAAGCAGTGTAGTGCGGTTTGTGGGTTGAAAACTGTTTTCTTTGTTTCTATTTTTTGTGTTATTTGGTGGGATTATCAACTCATTTTTGCAAGACCCAATTATACTAATTCAGTGTATGACGATTTTTTTCTAGATTGTGACAATTGAATTGATTAATTCATGGCCTAACAAAGTCGTTGGTTTGTTTTTCTTTTATACTAATATTAGTATATATTTTGCAACTACAGAATATTAGTAGGTGCAGAATAACGAATATGAGGCTCAGAATATATTTTGCAATCATGCTTCAGTTTTATTAGTATATTAGTAATGTAATTAATAACCTCTCTATTTTACAGAATAACAAATTGTTTAACTTATTTGTCTTAGTTAAATAAGAAAATGAAAGAAAAAAGAAAAATAAAACTTATGCGGGGTGGGTGGAGTGGGTTTTGTGGCTGCTAGGCGGGGCTGTTTTCAAATTTGCTATGCCCGCCCCGCTCCACTGCCATCCCTAAATTTGCGTTGTGCTACTTTCGATGGATCTGGTTTTGATGCAGAAGATTTCATTATTCACCAATTCTGCTACAACTGTAATTATTCGACTATTTGACCCTAGACTTTATGAATTGTAGTAAGCGTGTAATTCCGCTACTTATAGCAATGATGAGACCTAATTCAAAGAAATACTTTCTGAGCATCGCTTAGTGCAACTCCGAGAAAGATGCATGACTTGACTGCTAAAAATTTGCCGCTAAAGCCTAATGCCTGTGAAGTATTATATAACATTTCCTCCTTTTTATCCTCCTCCTTTCAGGTAGTTGTTAGTTTCCTCCAAAATTTATAATCTAATATTTTATTGTTTAGTAATTACACATAAGTCTAGGTTCAAGTGTGAACATACTTTTAGACTATGTTGCTCAGATCCTTCAAGATCCTTGTTGCACCTGTGTTGATCCAACATGATTTGCGTGTGGGTGTTTGATCTGCATTGGATTTGGTCAACCTGACTTGGGTGCTCTGACTGCACCTATGGCCAAGAAGTATAGTTTGATTTGGTTTTTGGTTTAACTTTGTGTTTATGTCACACATAAAGTACTAGAACACTACAGAGATAGAAAGAAAGATCTGCACATGGTGTTTATTGACCTAGAAAAAGCGTATGACAAGGTTCCTAGAGAAGTTCTCTGGAGAAGCTTGAAGGCAAAAGGCGTGTCGTTTCCCTACATTTTGGCGATTAAGGACATGTACGATGGGGCAAAGACTCGGGTTAGGACAGTAGGAGGCGACTCTGAGGATTTTCCGGTTGTTATGGGGTTACACCAAGGTTTTGCGCTCAGTCCGTTCCTATTCGCCCTGGTGATGGACGCGTTGACACATCACATTCAAGGGGATGTGACATGGTGCATGCTATTCGCCGATGACATAGTTCTGATTGATGAGTCGCGAACCGGTGTTAACGAGAGGCTGGAGGTTTGAAGACAAGCTCTTGAATCTAAGGGTTTCAAGCTTAGCAGGTCAAAGACGGAATACTTGGAGTGTAAGTTCAGCGCTGAGCAGAGGGAAGTGGGCGTGGATGTGAGGCTTGAATCACAGGTCATCCTGAGTAGAGACAGCTTCAAGTACCTTGGGTCGGTTATCCAAGGGAGAGGGGAGATCGACGAGGATGTTACACACCGTATCGGGGTAGGATGGATGAAATGGAGGTTAGCATCTGGAGTATTGTGTGACAAGAGAGTGCCACTGATACTCAAAGGTAAGTTCTATAAAGCGGTGGTTAGGCCGGCCATGATGTATGGGGGTGAGTGTTGGCCAGTTAAGAAATCACATATCCAGAAGATGAAGGTAGCAGAAATGAGGATGTTGAGGTGGATGTGTGGACATAGTAGGATGGATAAGATTAGGAATGATGTTATTCGGGAGAAGCTGTGTGTGGCTCCCATTGATGACAAGATGCGGGAAGCAAGGCTCAGGTGGTTCGGGCACGTTTAGCGGAGAAGCCTAGATGCTCCGGTAAGGAGCTGCGAACGGCTGGTTGCGGAGGGCCTGAGAAGAGGTAGAGGGCGGCCTAAGAAGTATTGGGGGGAGGTGATTAGGCAGGATATGACGATGCTTCATATTTCTGAGGACATGGCACTCGATAGGAACATGTGGAGGTCGAGTATTAGGGTTGTAGGCTAAGAGGTAGTTGAGTCTTGTCTTATGCCATAACTTTGTGGAACTAGTTTGGTAGGGACATTATTTTGTTTTTGCTTTGTATCATTCTTCTTGATTTCATGTTGTTCTTATTTTTCATATATATATATATTCTTCCATATTATTTCTGTGGTGTTACTAATATTGTCTTCTTTTGTCTTTTTGTCTTTTTGTCTTTTTGAGCCGAGGGTCTTTCGGAAACAGCCTCTCTACTCCTTCGGGGGTAGGGGTAAGGTCTGCGTACACACTACCCTCCCCAGACCCCACTAGTGGGATTTCACTGGGTTGTTGTTGTTGTTGTTTAAAGTACTAGAACACTTTGCTATTGTACGAGATAACTTATGAATAAAATAAGTGTTTAGAGAGAATTTACTTATACTAGTTTTAACTTAATAACTTCAGTTAATTGTCAAAATATATACTTATATATGTCATAATACACATTTATTGGTTGTATCTTAACACTCGTATCCATATTCCTATCCATATCCTTGAACCCTAAGATTTAGGTACTGACGAATTTGACTTCTAGATCCACACCTATATTGGGTGTCCACACCCGTATTCGAGGAACACTGCTTTAGATCATTGTCTAATTTTATTTGAATTGATTGAATTTATGAAGATAATAAATTTGAGTTTCACCACCCAAAGTGCATTTTTCTCTAATACTAAAAATTTGGAATAATTCAAGAGTTTTATACTCCTTTCGTCTTGGCGGTTTGATTATTTGAACTAATTAGTATTTCGAAAGTAAAGCAACGTCTTCTTTGGACACAAACTTTTCAAATATTTTCTTGAAAGTTTTAACTTCTGAAATTTGGATTGGTACTACTTTTATGTATTTCAAATATACAAGTTTTTGAAAAAAAAGAGACAGTATTATTATCAGAAAGCAACACAAGATTAGTCAATTGGACACTAAATCAAGTACTCTTGGCGATGGAGGGAGTACCTCAAAAGCACTAAAATTTCGGTTAAAGTACCTTTATTTAGATTCATGCATGTGATACTAATTTGACTGCTCTTGTGCACAGCTGCATTTGGAGCAGTATTACATGTAATATCCACTTCAATTCTTGGCATAACGGCAGTAACGATAACAAACACAATTGCTGGCGAGGAAACAGTGCACAAACTGGCTTCCCTTTTGCTTATAGTTCTTGGTGGTAGTTATGTTATCTTGTTTCTTCGCGGAAAGGGTGGTCACTGCCACTCACACAATCAACCTATGGAGAAAATGGCCGTAGCAGGGCTTATCCTTGTTCCTGCGTTGTCTCCTTGTGCAACCACTCTCCCCGTTTTTCTTGCTGTTGGAAACTCAAAATCCATGATGGTGCTTGCGATCATAGTTCTGTTATTCAGGTATTATTGTTTCTAAATTTCTACTATACTTTGTATATAAGTGGATTACATACTCTTTTTGTTGCTTTTTCTTTTGAGAAAATGTAATGTTACTCTGGAGAAAGAATAGAATCAAAATAACTTGATCTTATTAGAAAAAAGGATATGGAATAAGGGGGTGGGAGGAAAGAGTGGGTTTAGATGGTGGTATGTCCCTTTAGCTTGATCCTTTATCTATCCCACCCTCGCTTCGGTCGATCATGGGGTATCCCTCTATCAAGAATTCAGAGAAGATACTTTATCAAGAGAATTCAGAGAAGATATTTTGCTTGTGCTCATTACACAAAGGTGAAAAAGATAAAAAGAACATGCCGTCAACAACTTAGGATTTTTAAAGGCTTTATGAACTGAACTATCTACCTCTTATGATGAGAAAGTTTTAGAGACATCTGGCCCATTTTAATTTCTGTGGCTTTTGTATTTTACTGAAGTCACCATGTAAGTATTGTGTTCTAGAAACGTATTTCAGTGCACGTCTATATCCAAGGGTGTGACCTAGTGGTCAATGAGGTAGAATGAGAACCATGAGGTCTCAAGTTCAAATCCCAACGGAGGCAAAAACACTAGGTGATTTCTTTCCATCTGGCCAAGCCTTGATGGACGGAGTTACCCAACACTTGTGCTAGTGAGAGGTAGCAAGTGCTCCGTGGAATTAGCCAAGGCACGCAAATTGGCCCGAACACCATGGTTATGAATAAAAAGTACTTATTGAGAAAATGTAAGGTTACTCTGGAGAAAGAATAGAAGCAAAATAACTTGATCTTTTTAGAGAAAAGGATATGGAATAAGGGGGTGGGAGGAATTAGTGGGTTTAGATGGTGATATGTCCCTTTAGCTTGATCCTTTATCTATCCCACCCTCGCTTCGGTCGATCATGGGGTTCCCTCTGTCATGAATTCAGAGAAGATACTTTATCAAAAGAATTCAAAGAGGATATTTTGCTTGTGCTCATTACCCAAAGGTGAAAAAAATAAAAAGAACATGCCTTCAACAACTTAGGATTTTTAAAAGCTTTAACAAACTGATCCATCTACCTTCTTGAAATAAGATAAGTTTTAGAGACGCCTGGTCCATTTTAATTCCCGTGGCTTTTGTATTATACTGAAGTCACTATGTAAGTATTGGGGCTCTATAAACTTATTTCAGGGCATGCCGGCACCCAAGGGTGTGGCCTAGTGGTCAATGAAGTGGGTTGAGAACCATGAGGTCTTAGGTTCAAATCCCAACGGAGGCAAAAACACTAGTGCTTGATGTTTTGTGGACTGTGAGAAGTGGTGACGGGATGTTGTTCCTTGTCATGAGGGGAGCTGTGCTTCACCTTAATTACGAGGATGCTAGTGTTTTTGTTTTTCATTCCTTCAACCTTCATCCAAAATCCGTTTGGACCATTCTGCTGCAAATTGCTAAACTTTCAGAAAATACCTCCGCGAGAATTTTAGTTATGGAACTACTGCTCCAGGATGTAATCTTGAAATTTAGTACCTCCGGTGGTTGATAACTTAATATACAGTATACTTCTAAATTTTCCCTTTCTTACAATGAAAGCCCGTTCACGCTGGTTGAATTTGTTGATATCTAAGTTTTTCTTAGGAGAGGGAGATTTTAGTTTATCTGTAGTTCAATTGCGCCCATTTAACTGTCATTAGATTCACCGACTACTACATATCTAAGTTTTTCTTAGGAGAGGGAGATTTTAGTTTATCTGTAGTTCAATTGCGCCCATTTAACTGTCATTAGATTCACCGACTACTACATATCTAAGTTTTTCTTAGGAGAGGGAGATTTTAGTTTATCTGTAGTTCAATTGCGCCCATTTAACTGTCATTAGATTCACCGACTACCATCCCATTGGGGAGTTCTTTTGATTTATCCAAATATCCTGAATGGTCAACACTAAGTTGATACTTCACTTGCAGCACCATAACTGTGATGACCTCACTGGTGGCTCTATCATTTTACGGTGCAAGTCAACTCAAGTTTCACTGGGTGGAACGCTATGACAAGCTCCTCGTCGGTTCAGTGCTAAGTTTGGTTGGTATTTTGACCCTTATATTTCACGATCACGATGGAGAAGTAGGTTCGGCAGGAGGTCATGTGCACAGAAAACTCATTGTGCTATAAGGATCGGTCTTCAGCCAACAGATCTGTTCTGTGAAGCTTAGAATTTTAGTGGATATTTACCTCAAATTAAGAAAAGCAATGTAAAATCACTCTTTTTTTTTCCTTCCAATTCTGTAATTAATGGTTGCTCAACTTTATGACTATTATATTATGCTCAACAATCTTCAGTAGACCGACTAGTTTCCTCTAAGAACAGGTCATGCTACACTGAATAGGAGGAACCAGCGTGTGGCATGTATGGCATTTACTTTATTTATTAGTTTTCCAGATCTCTTTTTTTATTTTCTCAATTTATTTTTTGATCTAGCGGTTAAAATAGGGACACATTTGATAATTTTCCCATGTGACCACCTTTTCCTCTATCAGAATGGAACAAACAGATTATTTTAGCAATTAGCAAATGAAGGATTAATAATGAAGGAGAGAAATACAAATGAAGATAGAAAATAGAGGCACAATTTACTGAGTTTCTGCTGCATTTATAAGAAAGATTCAGTGAAAATGGCGTGTAGTAGCCACTAAATAAGGGTGTATTTAATTTTTATCCACTATTTAAAATGCTTATCAAAAATAGCCACTACTAAGGGGGAAAAGACACAATTACCCTCTCTATTTCTTATATAATCCCAAAATCGACGAGAACCCTTATTTCATTCGTTCAGAGTTCTGTGTTTCTTCATCTTCCTCGTATTCAAATTGCAATCTCAGTTAAACTTCTGCTCCTTCATCTTCCGTCATCTTCATCTTCATCTTCTCCGTCATCTTCTCCGTCATCTTCGTTTTTCTTTATTTGTAAGTTGGTTCAATGCCGTGTGAAGTATGTGTGAAATTTCAAAAATTAGCATTATATGTTGATTCAGTGTTGTATATTTTGTGTGATTCTGTTTTTGATAAATTTTTAGTGTGTGAAATTTGAAATGTGTTTGTGGTTGATTCAATATATTTGATTATGTAGGTATATTTCATAAAAATAGTTGTAGAAATTCATAAGCTTACTGTGATTATGAATTTTCAGTTAACTGTGTTTATTAAATTTAAGGAAGAAACGACATTAAATTTTGTAGTTGGAATTCAAAGTTAAGGACTGATTGTCCTTAACTTTTGCACATGAAACTTGAAGTTAAGGACAAAATGTCCTTAACTTTGGATGTTGAAAGTATATGTTAAGGATTGTATTTCCTTAACCTATGCACTTACAATTTAAAGTTAAGGACTGATTGTCCTTAACTTTTGCACATGAAACTTGAAGTTAAGGACTAAGTGTCCTTAACTTTGGATGTTGAAAGTATAAGTTAAGGACTGTATTTCCTTAACCTTTGCATTTACAATTTAAAGTTAAGGACTTATTGTCCTTAACTTTTGCACATGAAACTTGAAGTTAAGGACTAAGTGTCCTTAACTTTGGAAGTTGAAAGTATAAGTTAAGGACTGTATTTCTTTAACGTTTGCACTTAAAATTTAAAGTTAAGGATTGTATTTGCTTAACTTTTAAACTTGAAATTTTAAGTTAAGTCCTAATCTTTGTTTGTTTTTCCTTCTTTTCTAGTGTTATAATGGAAGGCGATCATTT